CTGTTTACAAGGATGGCAGACCACACAGATTTCAGTTTCGCAGTAGTGACCCTTTTTACATTTACACTTAGTGTTCTTGGCAGGGGTACAGCGTTCGGCCACCTCTTTATTCTCTGAAAGGGCAGCACGACCACACAACAGGATTCTGTCACATACGTTTTGGTTGTGGTACATAACAGTCTACACATCTACACTGACACTGAAGCAGACTTGTCAACATTGTAGTTGTATTAGATTACCAGGTTTTATGTTATTTTGTCTTCAGAAAATAAAAGATATTTAGTCAGACTCCTGAATTCTCACAGATAAATTGCATCTGTGTGCGGCACTGTGTGGAACAAATCGGGATTAGAGCTGAAACAAATTTAAAGTGAATGATTATTTTCATCATCTCTTAATATAGCCATCTTTTTTTATTAATCATGGAACTGTTTACCTTAGAAAATGCCAGTGTCAAACTTTTTAAACAAATTTTTGATGACAACAAACACAAAAGGAGCAACTCACAACCTGGGCCCAGCATATAGTATATATACATTTGATGTTGGAATTTAAAAAAGAGCAGTAACTGTGATAATGTGATTTGATAAAATCTAGCTAACACATTTAATAAGGTCAGTGTAAGTAGAGATGCTAATGTAATACATTTGATGGATGCATCACTGGAAACTAATATTTTATTCTGTTTTAATACATCCCCAGCCATGTGGACCTTATCGATTCATAGATATCTTATTAAGTAGTGTGGATTTCTGCAAATTCTGACATCATTCAGCTGCATATTTTGCATGGATTTTGCATACAGTTTTGGTTTTATAGGAAATAAAACTGTTCTCCTGTTGTGTCTGTACCATTGAGTTTATCGCAGGATGTGCAGACCTCACAGGTCGTCTCGTAATTAGGGGTACTACGGTACGTTCCGCTTTTACAGGGCTGGCACACTCGGTCATCTCGTGATTTAGAACTGCAGTGCCACACCAGTGACTGGCCTAGTATGGAGAGACAAGCCAGAGGCAGAAGAAAATGTTTTGAGTGTGGAAATCTATTATATACAAACAGCCAGAGGCAAAAGTATTTTAAAAGTATTTTGTTAAAAACCATTTAATGTTAAGGCTCTGGAGTGGTCACTGGTTTTCAGAATCTCAGAATCAGAATCTGCTTTTTTGGCCAGGTGTGTCGGACACACCAGGAATTTGCCTCTGGTACATCGGCTCTCAATGTGCATGTACATATCCCCATGCAAGGGACAAGTAAACAGTAAACCAACATTAAACCCATTAAACTGAATATAATATAAGAGCGTCTGACAACTTGTAAACTGATTTTCATATGTTCACTCAGTGAAACGACACACTGACACTTACCAGCACCACACAGACAGCAGGGGTTCCCTTCATGCTCATACTCCCCATCTATACACACACTCTCTCTTTTGCTACGGAATACTCCTTTAAGTGAATGCCCGTGGCTTTTCCCCTCCAGCTGGGATGAAGATGCGCCATGCGCTCTTATGAAAAACAAAAGTGAAAATAAGATGAAGCGAAAACAAAAATAACAGCTAGAATGAAAAAGCTTTTAGAAGATTATTTGATGTAAACATGGCCTAGCATAGCCTTCTTATCATCTTTCCAAAGAGATGGATATTACTGTCACATTTTGAACTCGGGTGTTACGGTGAATTTTGTCATTGGTGCATTTGTGTTGCCCCCCAAAACCCACCTTGACCAGGTTAGCCCCTCGATCTGTTGTTTTACTTTTTACAGAACCTTTTTAAGTACATAGTCATCTCAGTCAGCCTATAAATGAAGCGTTAACCTATATTAAAACTCGTGGGCTACTCCCCCAAACGCCGGAAACGCTTCTCCAGGAGTAAACAAACTTGGACTCAACACTTTATTAGAGTCAATAACACACAGCGTTGATATTTGTGATGTGTTTAAGATTACTTACGGTGACAGCAGATAGAAGATCGAAGCCAAGGAGATAACACACAACGCAGTAAATCTGGTTGATTCGGAAGCCATCGTTACAGCATTTGTACAGTAGTGTAAACCACGCAGGAAATGTGTCTTTGGGGGCGGGGATTGACCGCAACTGAGTGACTGCAAATATAATGGTGGGATGAGGTTCACTGGGAAGTTGGTGTGAGGTGCTTTGTATTTCTTAATGTTGAAAAATGGCCTTAAAATAAGTTTAAAAAAAAAAAAGAAGCATTTCTGCAGCACGGGGGAGAAGAAATGAACTAGAAACCAAAACTGTTGCTTAGAGTGTAGCTGTTGACTGCAGGTATCCAGTCCTCTCAAACACTTGATTTCCTTCCTCCTGACTTTTGTATTTATTGACTGATTTAGAAACACATTCCCTGTGGCCTGACATAATTAATGCAGTCTTTAAATGTAAATCATGCCTTATCGGTTCCTCCCAGAACCATATAATAAGCAGTATACTGTGTATTTACTGTACAGAGGGTAGACTTGGCTCCTAGTCCTGCAGTATTTCTGAAAAGCTGTCTTGGCAGTAGTCGTTTCAGGGATGTAAGCAAGGTGATTTGACCCTCTGCAATAGAAGTTGTGCATGGTTCTGTATTGTTCTACAACATATTAATTGTGTTTTGGTTGATGTCTTTGGGGTTTCTAAGCAGAAGTAGCAGGGTTAACCACCCTCCCAGCCTGTATGCACGCAGTGTTTTTGCCTTTCTGTTATTTCCATCTATCTCCGCGTTGTTTCTGGTGTTTGCCAGGGCCTTACGCAGGCTGTGTGTCAGTGAATGTAGCAAAAGGACTGTTTTCCCCAGCCTCTGTATCCTGAACAGAAAGACGCATGAACAGCTGATGTTGCCATGAGCGTTGGGCACGAATCAAAGGAAAGGTGTACAAGGG